GAGTTTACAGAGTTAGAGTTTATAGAGTTAGAGTTTAGAGAGTTAGAGTTTAGAGTTAGTTTACAGAGTTTAGAGTTAGAGTTTACAGAGTTAGAGTTAATAGTTAGTTTACAGAGTTAGAGTTTACAGTTAGTTTACTGAGTTAGAGTTTAGAGTTAGAGTTTACAGAGTTATAGTTTACAGTTAGTTTATAGAGTTAGAGTTTATAGTTAGTTTACAGAGTTAGAGTTCAGAGTTTACAGAGTTAGAGTTTACAGAGTTAGAGTTTATAGTTAGTTTACAGAGTTAGAGTTCAGAGTTTACAGAGTTAGAGTTTACAGAGTTAGAGTTTATAGTTAGTTTACAGAGTTAGAGTTCAGAGTTTACAGAGTTAGAGTTTACAGAGTTAGAGTTTATAGTTAGTTTACAGAGTTAGAGTTCAGAGTTTACAGAGTTAGAGTTTACAGAGTTAGAGTTTATAGTTAGTTTACAGAGTTAGAGTTCAGAGTTTACAGAGTTAGAGTTTACAGAGTTAGAGTTTATAGTTAGTTTACAGAGTTAGAGTTCAGAGTTTACAGAGTTAGAGTTTACAGAGTTAGAGTTTATAGTTAGTTTACAGAGTTAGAGTTCAGAGTTTACAGAGTTAGAGTTTACAGAGTTAGAGTTTATAGTTAGTTTACAGAGTTAGAGTTCAGAGTTTACAGAGTTAGAGTTTACAGAGTTAGAGTTTATAGTTAGTTTACAGAGTTAGAGTTCAGAGTTTACAGAGTTAGAGTTTACAGAGTTAGAGTTTATAGTTAGTTTACAGAGTTAGAGTTCAGAGTTTACAGAGTTAGAGTTTACAGAGTTAGAGTTTATAGTTAGTTTACAGAGTTAGAGTTCAGAGTTTACAGAGTTAGAGTTTACAGAGTTAGAGTTTATAGTTAGTTTACAGAGTTAGAGTTCAGAGTTTACAGAGTTAGAGTTTACAGAGTTAGAGTTTATAGTTAGTTTACAGAGTTAGAGTTCAGAGTTTACAGAGTTAGAGTTTACAGAGTTAGAGTTTATAGTTAGTTTACAGAGTTAGAGTTCAGAGTTTACAGAGTTAGAGTTTACAGAGTTAGAGTTTATAGTTAGTTTACAGAGTTAGAGTTCAGAGTTTACAGAGTTAGAGTTTACAGAGTTAGAGTTTATAGTTAGTTTACAGAGTTAGAGTTCAGAGTTTACAGAGTTAGAGTTTACAGAGTTAGAGTTTATAGTTAGTTTACAGAGTTAGAGTTCAGAGTTTACAGAGTTAGAGTTTACAGAGTTAGAGTTTATAGTTAGTTTACAGAGTTAGAGTTCAGAGTTTACAGAGTTAGAGTTTACAGAGTTAGAGTTTATAGTTAGTTTACAGAGTTAGAGTTCAGAGTTTACAGAGTTAGAGTTTACAGAGTTAGAGTTTATAGTTAGTTTACAGAGTTAGAGTTTAGAGAGTTAGAGTTTATAGAGTTAGAGTTTACAGAGTTATAGTTTACAGAGTTATAGTTTACAGTTAGTTTATAGAGTTAGAGTTTATAGTTAGTTTACAGAGTTAGTTTACAGAGTTAGAGTTTACGGAGTAAGAGTTTAGAGAGTTAGAGTTTACAGAGTTAGAGTTTATAGAGTTAGAGTTTACAGAGTTAGAGTTTATAGAGTTAGAGTTTACAGAGTTAGAGTTTATAGAGTTAGAGTTTACAGAGTTAGAGTTTATAGAGTTAGAGTTTACAGAGTTAGAGTTTATAGAGTTAGAGTTTACAGAGTTAGAGTTTATAGAGTTAGAGTTTACAGAGTTAGAGTTTATAGAGTTAGAGTTTACATAAATATAAAACATATTGTAAAATATTTTGTAAATATTATTGTAATATATTTTAAAATGCAATTAATTTCGGTGATGGCAAAGCTGAATTTTCAAGAAACATTTCTAATTATTATCAGTGTTGAAAACAGTTGTATCTGAAATACAAATCTTTTGTAACATTATAAATGTCTTTACTGCCACTTTTGATCAATTTAATGCGTCCTCAATCAATAAAAGTATTATCAACTGATTCACCAAATGGTTTGACTGATTCATTAACAATAATTGCATCAACTAAGTGATTAATTCGTGAATTTGACCAACACTATGTTTATTTCTGCATGCAGTCAGTGAGGATGTGGTATGAAGTTGATTATTTGTTGTCATTTTATTGTTTGTTTGTTTGTTTGGTGGCCAGTCTTTCTCTTTCACCATCATTCATAAGCTCAAAACGCTTTTTTGCAACTGGAGATTCAGCAGCTCCTGGTTATTGTGTATATATTTGGCATCATTGTTTTTGTGTTTTCCTGCAGGAAGCCGTGCCGGGAATAGAAGCTCGGGCCACCAGATCTGAATATTCAGGATATAAACGCACATATTTTTGTGTGAGAATCCCGTTCACACCTGAAGGACGGCAGACAGGTATTCACGCACGCACAAACCTGTGTGAACCACTGAGCTGATGAAGGAAACAGCAGATCTCTCAGACTCACCCCAGCACTGACTTTGCGCTCTCGTCTGGTTTGCGGACGGTGAACGGACTGGGATCGAGGCCCACCGTCTTCGGCATGAACTCCCTGAGAGACGAGACGAGAGAGAAATCATGAGAAGACGTAGAAAAACCTTCTGTGCACAAACAGGTGTAAAGGAACTCTCAACTCTCTTTCGCATCGTATATTCAAATATCAGATATATTAAAATCATCAAATCGCTTTGCAGCAGGTTTAAAGACACAAACGCGCTTCACAGCAACCCTTCAAAATAAAAGTTCGGTTGAACTCAAAGACACTGTGACAGAGATGTATTACTACTGTACAGCAGAATGTACTTCTCAAATAATAATAATAATAATTTTTATTATTATTTTATTTTAAGAGGTATTTTAATTATTTTAAAAATTAATAAGGTTTAATTTTAAGATTTTAAAAGTCTGAATTGAATTGCAAGAAAATTATTATTTTTTTTGATTAATCCTTCAATAAACTGTTGTGAAATTGTATGATTTCAACTAATTAAACATGCTTTTTGATTACTAACATTTAATTTGACCATTAAAACTGAATTAAAAATATAATTTGGAAAATAAAAATACAATTTTTGGGGAAAAAAGAGAGAAAAAAAACCCACTAAAAATAAGGGGGCCCATATACTGTTTTTTTCCGTTTTTTTAAGATTGAAAAAATACAAAAATACATTGAAATTGATTTTTTTTAAATGAATATTGAGTACTAAACATTTTGAAGGAAATAATATATAATTTTACACAAATTTCTCGTTACACTGAATAAAACGTTAAATGTTAAAGCATGTTTCATGTCTTACTGGGAAGGATTCATAAGTGCACATTTATTTGAAAGAAAAATTTTTTTTTTTTGTTTGTTTGTTTTATTTATTATTATTATTTTTTTAAATAATTATTTGTATTTATCTATCAACAGCCCTAATTAAACAGAAAATGCTTGTACATTTCATTAAAATGAGTAACTCATGCATTCATCTGACTTGAGTACAGTAAGTAAACGGCACATATGTAACCCTGGAGCACAAAACCAGTCATAATGGTCAATTTTGTGAAATTGAGATTTATACATCATCTTATTATACATCATCAATAAGCTTCCATTGATGTATGGTTTGTTAGGATAGGACAATATTTGGCTGAGATACAACTATTTGAAAATCTGGAATCTGAGGGTGCAAAAAAATCTAAATATTGAGAAAATCATCTTTAAAGTTGTCCAAATGAAGTTCTTAGCAATGCATATTACTAATCAAAAATTAAGTTCTGATATATTTACGGTAGGAGATTTACAAAATATCTTCATGGAACATGATCTTTACTTAATATCCTAATGATTTTTGGCATAAAAGAAAAATTTATAATTTTGACCCATACAATGTATTTTTGGCTATTGCTACAAATATACCCCAGCGACTTAAGACTGCTTTTGTGCTGCAGGCTCACATCTGTCTTTATGAAAATGAGGCAAACTACCGGACGGATTTTCCAACACTCATCCGGTGAGAGGAGATGGTAAAACGAGAGCAATAAATACGAGAGCAGCTGAACCCCGTCTGAGAGACAACAGGAGACGTTAATCAAACACTTTCACAACCGAACAGAAGAACCCTGAGCGTGAAAGCGAAACACACCGAGTTCACCAGAAACACAGACTAGACCGACTTCTGTGTTATTCCTCACAGAGCAGAATGAAGAGCAACACAGATTTTACTCAGATATGAAGATGCTTTTTAAACAAACAAACCAACAAGCAAACAACTTAACTATTTACTTAAATATTTATTCGCATAAATAAGTAAATAAACTTTAATGTTTTCTTGAATATTTATATATATATATATATATATATATTAAATATTTAAATTAATGATCATTCATATACATAAACATTTTATTTTAATAATATTTACTTAAATATTTATTAGCATAAACAAATAAATGTTAGTATTTACTTAAATATGCAAATTAAAATGTACTCAAATTAATTTTCACATATAAACACTTTAATATTAAAATGTAATATTTACTTAAATATCTAAATTAATTTACTTAAACATTTACGTTCATATCTACTTAAATGCTCATTCACATAAATAAAAATAAATAAGTAAATAAATAAAATTTCATATTTTAACATTTTAAATGTAAACAAAGTTTAACAATTACTAATTTTGATATATACTTAAATATCTGAATTAATTTACTTAAACATTTAAACACTTATTATATTCACATAAATAAATTTGAATATTTACTTAAATGTTTCAATTAATTTATTTAAATATTTAAATTATTATTCACATTTAACGGTTTCAAATCAAAATTGGTTTAAATTTAAAATATTGTTAAAATATGAACAATTTGAACGAACATTTAAGTAAATATTAATTTAAATTTATTTAAATAAATGTTAAACTTTGTTTACATTTAAAATGCTAATATATTAAAGTTTATTTATTCACGTATTTATATCTTACACTACTTAAACATTTAAACACTTATTATATTCACATAAATAAATACATCTGAATATTCACTTAAATATTTAAATTAATATTTACACAAAAATGCATTCAGATAAATAAATAAATTTGAATATTTACTTAAATGTTTCAATTAATTTACTTAAATATTTACTTTACCATTCACTTAATTGTTCATTCACATAAATAAGTAAATAAATAAATAAACTTTAATATTAACTTAAATATTTATATAATACATGCATTTACTATTTACTTCAATATATACTCAAATATTTAACAATTTTTCTGAAGTGTGTGACCTCGCGGAGTTGGTCATGGCGATGCTGAACGTGTCGTCGAACGAAGTGAGTTCGTACGGCTTGAAGATCTCGGTGTAGATGTCGATGCTTTCGTCAAAGCGGTTCACGCGCTTCACCGTCACCTTCCTCCTGTTCTTCTCACAATGGGCTGAAACAGAGACACATTCAGAACATCTCTATGATTTAACATGCACAAGCTATAATATACAGCATGTGTGAGGCGTCTAAATACAAACGAAACTTTCCGAAAACGAGGTAAATTAGAAATTAATTAATTCTAAAATGAATAACATTTTAACATTTTGCTTGTTACATGTATCACATGAATCCTTCATGGAAAAGGCAATCCCATATTGCAATGCGCTGAGTTCAGTGAAAATAATTAGGAAAAAGACAAAATTTTGTACCTAATACTTGTGTGTACAACGTATTTCTATATTTTTGGCTAAATTTTGTATATTTATATTTACTTAAATATTAATTCATTAATAAATAAATAAACAATTACTTAAATATACATTCACACAAATAAGTAAATAAATAGGTTGATAAATAAATGTAAAAATTAATTAAATATTTACTTTAAAATATACTTATATATTTAAATTGTTCACTTAAATATTAATTCACAAATAAAAAAATAAACAAACAATTACTTAAATATATACTTAAATATTTATTCACACAAATAAGTAAATAAATAGGTTGATAAATACATTTTAAAAATAATTAAATAAACATAATTAATTAAATATTTACTTTAAAATATACTTAAATATTTAAATTGTTCACTTAAATGTTTATTTAAATATTCATTCACAAATTTAAAATATACTTAAATATTTAAATTGTTCACTTAAATGTTTAGTTAAATATTCATTCACAATTAAATAAACATTTACTTAAATATATACTTAAATATTTATTCACTTAAATAAATAAGTAAATAAATAGGTTGATAAATAAATTAAAAAATTAAGCAAATATAATTAATTAAATATTTACTTTAAAATATACTTAAATATTTAAATTGTTCACTTAAATGTTTATTTAAATATTCATTCACAAATTTAAAATATACTTAAATATTTAAATTGTTCACTTAAATGTTTAGTTAAATATTCATTCACAAATAAATAAACATTTACTTAAATATATACTTAAATATTTATTCACTTAAACAAATAGGTTGATAAATAAAAAAAATTAAGTAAACATAATTAATTAAATATTTACTTTAAAATATACTTAAATATTTAAATGTTTACTTAAATATTCATTCACAAATAAATAAACATTTACTTAAATACATATTTAAATATTTATTCACTTAAACAAATAGGTTGATAAATAAAAAAAATTAAGTAAACATAATTAATTAAATATTTACTTTAAAATATACTTAAATGTTTAAATGTTTACTTAAATATTCATTCACAAATAAATAAACATTTACTTAAATACATATTTAAATATTTATTCACTTAAACAAATAGGTTGATAAATAAAAAAAATTAAAATAAATTAACATTTACTTAAATATATACTTAAATATTTATTCACTTAAGTAAATAAATAGATTGATATATAAATAAATAAAAAATTAAATAAACAAATATAATTAATTAAATATTTACTTTAAAATATACTTAAATGTTTAAATGTTTACTTAAATATTCATTCACAAATAAATAAACATTTACTTAAATACATATTTAAATATTTATTCACTTAAATAAGTAAATATATAGGTTGATAAATAAATTAAAAAGTTATTAAATAAACTTAATTAAATATTTACTTTAAAATATACTTACATATTTAAATTTTGTTTAAAATTTTGTTTTAAATGTAGTTAAATATTCATTCACAAATAAATAAATTAACATTTACTTAAATATATACTTAAATATTTATTCACTGTAATAAATAAGTAAATAATAGGTTGATAAATACATTTAAAAATGAAGTAAACAATTAAATATTTACTTTAAAATATACTTAAAAATTTAAATTGTTCACTTAAATGTTTATTTAAATATTAATTCACAAATAAATAAATAAATACACATTTAATTAAATATATACTTAAATATTTATTCACTTAAGTAAATAAATAGATTGATAAATAAAAAAATTAATTAAATAAACAAATATAGTTAATTAAATATTTACTTTGAAACATACTTAAATGTTTAAATTGTTCACTCAAATGTTTACTTAAATATTCATTCACAAATAAATAAATAACTTAATTAACTAATTAATATTTGGATTAATATTCAGTCACATAAATCAATAATCGGTGATTGTGAGAGACTCCGAGGAGTCACTCATGAAGCTCCATGCGATCAGGACGCTGCTTCGGCTCAGTGTTTGTGGTTAATATATCAGCTCATGTCTCTCATATCGGTCTTTATGGATGTGTAAAGCGATCACCTTCATCATACGGTGACGGCAGGAACGTCAGCACTCCGTCAGTCCACCAGTGTGTGTAACTGCAGAGAAAAACACAAACACATCAAACAGGACTACGGTAACACCGTGTTATTCTGGGACACGGTACCATGCTAATACTATCGTTTTACACACATGTACCATGTAATATGGCAGCATATGAACATTGTAATAGTAAACATCAAAGTACTATGGTATTACTATCAGATACCATCACTGTACCACAGTACTATAAATATATATGTGTGTGCGTGTGAGAGAGTGTGTGTGTGTGTGTGTGTGTGTGTTATATATTTTTTTTAGTTACATAACACATAACATATAATACATATTTATATAAAAAAATTTAATTAAACCCAGAATATATACATTTTATTACAACAAATAAAGATTACTGTCAGTCAACAAATAATGCATGTGCATACTAATGTGAGTATGTGCTTCAGTTAACATATAATATATTAAATGTATAATATTATATAATACATTATAATCTCTATATAATATAATAGTATATATTCATTATTTTATATTATTATTTTAGGGAAGGGAACGAAACTTTGCAAATGATTTAAGACCTTCAAAATACACTTTTTTTTCAGATTTTGTAATAAAAAACTTATATAATTTATGTAGCTATATAGAATGCATATATATGTACACACACAAACACACACAAATAAATATTAATTAATTAAAATATATATTGTATAAAACATAAAATAAAATATAAAATATTTATTATAAAATATAATATAATATAATATAAAAATGTGTAATATTATATATTATAATAATAATATATTATACATACATACATAAAATATTAGGTTTCATTAAAATATATTTAATATTTTAATCAAACCCGACATAAATCAATTTTATCACACCAGAAAATACATGCATACATGTGCATAAAATCTGAGGGGGAAATGTGCTTAAGTTACATAAATATAAAGTCAACACAAAAATCTTAATGGAAAAATATAATTTTATATATCAATTCAATTCCGTATGACTCAGACGTGTTTGTGATAAAACTGTCCTGGCGATCGGTGAACTGAACGGAAATACAGTGGGTCTAGAAAAGAATCAGCCTCATTTACAATAATCACATTGTGTTGCTTTGCAGCCTGAAATGGAGACGGACACAGTTTTTGTTTCATCCAGCTGTATTTACTCAGTACTACTTATAACATCCAAGTGAAAGATAAAACACCAACATGTCGGGAAATAAATAAAAAAGTAAAAAAAGCAGAATTACTGAGTTGGAAAAAGGATCAGCTCCTTGTGTCAGTGTTTTGTTGAAGCACCTTCTGCTTTAATTACAGCCTTTAGTCTGTCTGGATTTGTCTCTACTAACTCTGCACATCTAGACTTTGCAATATTAGCCCACTCTTCTTTGCAGAACTGCTCAAGTTCAGTTCAATCTGATGGAGAGTGTTTGTGGACTGCAGTCACAGATTTTCAGTGGGTTTCAGTCTGGACTCTGACGAGGCCATGCAAAGACATTCAGCTTTTTCTCCTTCAACCACTGTGTGCTTTGTGTCATTGTCATGTTGGAAGGTAAACCTTCTTCCCATTGACAACAGATTTTCCTCAATAATTTGACCGTATTTTATTCATTTTTCCTTCTATCCTGACCAGCGCTGCAGAGAAACACCCCATAACAGGACATCACCACCTCCATGCTTTACTGTAGCTGTTATCTGGATGCTGAGCTGGATTGGATTTCCACTAGACATATCGTTTGGTGTTGAGGCCACATAATTCAGTTTTAGTCTCATCTGCCTCAGACTCTTCAAGGAGTGTTTTAGCAAAGCTCAGTCTGACTGCATGTGGCCTTTCTTGAGGAGCGGCTTTTTTCCATACAAGCCACATTTGTGGAGAATCTGTGATATTGTAGTCACATGCACACAATGATCACTCTCCCGACTTGTGTCTGTCCACAGCTATATCCCGGAGATCTTCTGACAGTGTCTTGACACCCATAGCTGATTGTTTGCTTCAGTTGCACTACCAAGGGCTGAAATGCTCCAGGAAAGCTCTTTTCATGCTGAGCTGATCAAAATGAGCACAGCTGAAAGTCAAATGGCTTTGTGTGCCACTGAGAAGGTGATGAGCTGCACCTGATTGAGTTTACAAGCCATTTTTAGGAGGGGTGATCCTTTTTCCAACTCCAATTTCCAATTTATTTCAGAAATATTGGTGTTTTATCTTTCACTTGGATGTTATAAGTTGCACTGAGTAAATACAGCTGGATAAAACAAAAACTGTCTGTCTTCATTTCAGGCTGCAAAGCAGCAAAATGTGATTATTTTAAAGGGGGCTGATTCTTTTCTATACCCACTGTACATTAGAACATAAATGTCCTATTTGTCCTGGAACACGAATTGTCATTTCAGAGACTATCTGACGGTACAATTTCCCTAAACAGGTCAGATTCCTCTCATTTCGTTTTGTGTCTGATAATAGTTCTTTGTCATGTCGACCAGCGTCCATTATGTAAGCGGCATCACAAAGCAACGTGCCGGATGGCTGGAGGAAAATAAAGTGGGTCAAACACTTCTTTAACATCGCAGCAATAACAGAATAAACCACAGTCGGGCAGAAACTGGATGAATGTGAAGCTGCAGACGCAATAAATGAAGAACACGGAGAATGAAATGAGGCGGAAACAGATTTTGGCATTTACACAAGTTAAAGGTAATGTAACGCTAACCAGTAGCTGTTCATAGTGTTCACTAAGGCAAACGTCATTAGTTTTAGTGCTTATACTGTATTTAAGTGTGCTATTACTTTTCTAAAGTCATCAATTTTACATTTTTCACCATGCATTCAAGGTGGCACATGATGTTTTCTTACCCTCACAAAGCATTCGGTTCATTTTGTCCCAGAACAGATGCATAAACATTTTTTAAAAAATGCATAGTTTTTAGTAAGGCAACGCAACTTTGCAAATGCTTTAAGAGCCTCAAAATACGCATCATTTATTTTCTTTCAGATTTTTTAAAATTAATTAATTTAATTGAAATTTATTTTTAATAGATATAACCATTTAAAAAAACATTTCATTCAGGTCATTTTGACCCGGGTGTGTATGGAGCACCATTACTGTCAAAAACACTTTTTGTAAAATTATCTATGGAGTTAAATTAGTGTCAAAAACACTTTTGTAAAATATATTTAGCCTCTTCTCCATATCTCACACACTTTTGGAACTGAATTTTGTTTATAAACATGAATATTGACCAACTATTGCAGCATGAAAAATTAATCACGTTTTCTATCTGAAAGTGAAAGTTTAAGTAAAATTAATTTATTTAGTTTGAAAACTTTTTAGAACAATATTTATGCTTTGTTAAAATAAATATGTAGGTTTCATAAATTTGGCATGTTTTTAAGCAAGCATGAGTTATGAAGTCAAAAGAATTAAACTATTAATTCCAATGGGGTTAATACTGGTAATTCTTATTTATATATGTTTTTATAAATTTCATGCAATAATATATTCAAATAAGATTTCTCATGAATATTGAAAAAAATATACATAAATTTTAGTCATCATAGTTTTGTTGTTGTTGTTGTTCATGTGTATTTGAAATTTCTAAGAATTTCAAAAATTTTTTAATAATAAACGGGTAAATGCTGTAATAACATGGTAACATTCAAAACTTTTAAGATTTTTTCAATAGTGAAAAATAGTCTACACATTTTGAGTGCATTAAAAATTGTCTTTGATCTTTCAAGCTGTTTAATGCCACTCAGCGGGTGTTGCATTGCATCAGTCCAAAAGAACTTAAATAAACATCGCCCATCCATAAAAAAAAAGTCTCTCACATGGCTCCGGGGGGTGAACAAAGGCCTTCTGTAGTGAATCGATGCGTTTTTGTAAGAAAAATATCCATATTCAAAATGTAATAATCACTTGAATCTAGCTTGCGCTCACTGTTGTAAACAGAAGCAGCTCCGGGGGAATGACGTATGAGGTCAGCGTTGCGCATGCGCCGCTCAGAAGTGACGCACGCGGAAACGCAGCGGAGAGATCAAAACAAAACAACGGTCACTAATTAGAAGTACAAAACGAGGATTTGTAAAGAAGAATGTCAGAGGATTTCGATATAAGCCAAGAGGAGACTGGTTTTCCTTTGCTAAAGTAAGGAAACGTTGATTCCTTTGATCCTGTTAACAAACGTTGGTTTTCACGAGACTCACCAGCGCATGCGCAACGCTGAACTCATACGTCATCAGCCGGGAGCTGCTTCGGTGTACAACTGTTGGCGCAAGAACAACGTCAACGTTTTGAATGTGGATATTTTTATTACAAAAATGCATCGATTCGCTACAGGAGGCCTTTGTTCACCCCCCGGAGCCGTGTGAGACACTTTTTTTTATGGATGGGCGATTTTTATTTAAGTTCTTTTGGACTGAAGCAATGCAACACCCGCTGAGTGCCATTAAACAGTTTGAAAGATCAAAGACAATTTTTAATATAACTCCGACTGGATTCGTCTGAAAGAAGAAAGTCATATACACCTAGGATGCCTCGGGGGTGAGTAAAACGCAGCCTAATTTTCATTTTTGGGTGAGCTAACCCTTTAAGAAAAAGGTGTTTAAATCCCTGTCAGGAGAATCTATTCTCTCAGTTTTTTGCTCGTCTGTTGAAGTCTCCAGAGAAAGCACAGCACAGGTTGTTAATCAGACAGAATTAAGCCGTAAGCGTCAGACCTGTGCTGCTGGTGTGGGAGGACCATGGTATCGCTGTGATGAAGGTAGAAATCTGTAGGCAGTTCCCAGAGGTGAGGCTTCGACTCCGACGGCTGGAAGACCTGCAGGAAGAGGTTTATCGCGTCCTGTCTGTCTGCATCTGAGAGACAAAAACGATCAATGTTACTTCTGTGAGTTATTCCTGTTTGCCCAATTCTTAGTTTAGGCTGTATTTTATTATATATTTTTTTTATTTTATTTTTTACATTTACATTACATTTATTCATTTGGCAGACGTTTTATATCAATTATATTAAATTTTATTACATTCAATGTATACCTTTTATCAGTTCATGCATTCACTGGGAATCGAGCACATGTCCTTGGCTTTACTAGCGCCATGCTTTACTTTAGCAACAGGATACTTTATTTAATTAAATTTTTTAAATTTTATTTTTAATTTTATTTCATTTCATTATTTATTGTATTTTATTGTACACACTTGTCGAATAAAGCTAATTCTGATTCTGAAAATATAGCAAATATAAATATTTATATTATATTGTTCGCTTCAGCAACATTAACCATTTTGAGATGCCAATAAAAACAAACCACTACAACTAAAGCTGAGAGTGACTGAAAATCACCTTATCATCACAGTGAGAGCATGTGAGAGCACCAAACAATGACAGAATCAGATGCACAGCAGTGTTTGAGTCTGTTTACAGCTGCCAGGACTGACTTTTTGAGAATATCCACAGGTTAAAGGTTGATAATCGCGGCACATGCATGCGTGTGTTTGAGCGATGGTCTTCTGCATGTGCCGCGGCCAGCGTAATCAAGAGTTAATCGACAAGCAGTGAACGCAATTACACTCGTTCCTTGTTATCCCTCAGGCCATTTCAGCATCTTTCTAATTAAATAAAGCTGAGATGAGAACCGAGATGAGCAACATTAATGCACTAACACGTTCATCCACAAAACATCACATGGAAACGCCTGACCGTCCAGCAAATCTCCAGCATGGAAGAGTAAAATGTTTTATATTTTATTATGTTTTATTTAATTTAATTTGAACATTACATTACAGTTTTCCAATTGGCAGACATTTTAACAAAAGATTTATGAGCTACAGGTAGGGATATTATAGTTAATTAAAGGCATTAAAACACATTTTCATTTCTTGAAAAAAAAAGTCACCGTAAATTCAAATTATTAATAAAAACTATTAAAGCATATCGATGATACTAAAATAACAATGATATATATTTTATTAATTTGTTTGATTGTATTTTTATTTAAATGTATTTAATTTTAAAATTTAATTTAATTGTATTTAATTTTAACATTTAATAATTTAATTTTACATTATTATTATTATTATTATTCATTTACATTAGATTTATGAATTACAATAATGAGTAAAGAGTGTTTTATATTACTTTATATTTTATTATTTATTTTATTTTCTTTTTAAATTTCCATTACATTTATCCATTTGGCAGACATTTTAACCAAAGCTTTATGAGCTACAATTATATATTTTTTTTATTTAATTATTCAATTTATATTTTATTTAAATAAATTGATTTATTTTATTGTATTATTTTTATTTAGTTCTATTTTATTTCATTGTATAATTTTATTTAATTTATAATTTTTTATTAATTATTTTAATTTAATATTAATTAAAAAAAAACATTTCAAACAGACTCAAGAATATGCCAAGATCTCACTCCAAAACCCAGAAATAAAAAATTACATTTTACGTTTTAAAGTAAAATGTAATTTTTTATTTCTATATATTTCTATATATTAAACCTATTTTAGGACCATTACTTTTTTTTTTGCATTTTGGACCTATTTAAAAAATAAATCTTAAAGGTGCTAAAATAAGCTTCAGTTTTTAATGCAATAAAAAATGTTTCTTTTGATTTTAGAGTGAAAACCAGCATGTGCTTGAGATTCACCTGTATAATACAGTCTGTGTAATATTGAAATATAACAGCGCGGCTCCATTAGACTGTCCCGAAGAACAGTGTGTGTGCTGAGCTATGATTCATTTCAGCAGAATTTACCTGAGGAGAGTTTAAATGAGACGAGGCTATAAATACAACATGGAGAACAAGAAAAGAGTCTGAAGAACCTCAAAAATAGGCAGAAACATGAATGGCCATTCGATCAAACCTCAAACCCACTCCTTTAATTAACCAGCACAGCGCAAAAAAAGATGCTCTTCTTCAGTATTTTTGTCTCATTTTCCAGTACAAACATATAAATAAGATTAATTCACTGGAGATGAAAAATGACATAAGCAGTCTTTTTCTGAAGAAAAAAAAATCTAAATTAAGTAAGGTTTATGCTTAAAACAAAAACAAATATCTCTCAATGGGATAAGAAACAAAGAATAAAAAAAGAATAATAACATTTCTACAAAAAATTTATCAATGACTATTTTATGGTATTTTTGCCTTTAACATAGACATGGTATAAGCCAGGGTTATTATAGTTAACTAAAACTAAAACATGCATAAAATGTGTTAATTGAAATAAAATAACTTTAAAATATTAAAATAACAAAAAATATATAAAAATAAGACATAACTCAACTTGAAATAAAATAACTTTAATAAAATACTTAAAAAGTGCATTTAATTAAAACTTATTTAATAAATATTATTTATTTTTTATCACTTTTTTCTTATTTTCTTTAGTTTAATTTGTACAAAAATGTACTAAAATAACTGAAACCAAAACCAAAATCAAATAATAAAAATATACAGATGTTTAATTTAGACATCTATATAGACGTTTAATATATACAAAATAAAATAATAAAAACGGCAAACTAAAAAATAAAACAAAATTTCCAAACATTTAATTTGCTAAAATTACTCAAATTAAAACTGAAAGTATAAATAAAAACTAAAAATATGAAAAGCTATAATAGTATCTCAATGATACTAAAACAACTGTAATAAAAAATCATTTAAAATGCAGTTTTATAAAAACATTAATACAATTTTCTAACTATTTAATATTATAAAATGTTATATTTTCTAACTATTAAATATTATTAAAATTGTAAAATATTTATAATAATATTTTTATTATTTATATTTAATAATATTTATAATAAT